CACCATGTAGTCGATGTGCGGCAGCGGGTAACTATCCTTTGGGCACGCCGTATTGAGGTCAAATCAACACACAGACGCCATGATCCATTGCTTTTCTTAACCAAAACGGGGTTGGACACCCAGGTCGGATCGGATACTTGGCTTCTTTGATGAATTTGTTTTCGATGAGCTTGTTGACCTCTTCCTCCAAAGCTTGTTGTCAGTCTGGACCGAGTTTGCGCCTTTTTTGGATGTCGGGCTTGACTATTTTGTCGATGTTGAGCTGGTGACAGGCTATCTTCGGGTCTATCCCCTTCATGTTCTCGTGCCTCCAGGCAAAGACATCTACGTTGGCCTTCAAGAACGAAATGAGCTCGGTTCAGATAGGTTCAGGGAGACCTGTGCCAATGCGGAGTTGTTTGTCGCACGTCGGTTCGTCGACGAAGATGACCTCGACTTCCTCGGACCCTGTTTCTTTTCTTTGAATTGGCTACGCGGATCCAGCTCATCTTCTTCAGTAATGGGTTCTTTGCCCGACCTCCTCCCTCGATCTTGGGTGAGGTCTTCCTCGGTTGGCTCACTGAGGTCTGAGTTGTTTGAGGTCGGTTCTGTCGACTTTAGCAAGAGTTCTGTTTTAGTTGTGTCCACCACGGGGTCTGGATTTGGCACGTCCTCGGGAACCGAGTTCCAATGAATGGTAGCGTGGTCGAGGTCTTTCCCTTTTATGTTGTCGGAAGCATCCATCGCGTGGACCTCTCGTGAAGGGATCGCCAGTACCAACTCCCGAGCTTCTCGTTGATCCTCATAATGAGTGTCTTCGCCATCAACAGTGGGGAACTTGATTGCGTAGTGAAAGATGGAAACAGCCGCTCGTAGCTTGTATAAGGCCGTCCTTCCAATGATGGCTTATACTCGTGGTCAATATCCATAACTTTGAAGGTCTCCATTATGACTTTGGAGGTCTGTCCGTGGCCCTCGAACCTGATAGGGAGAGTGACACGCTCCCGTTGAACCCGTGGACTCTGTCATTACACGGGCGAACGTCGGTAGGATCGAGCCCAAGCTTGTGGAAGGCTTGGAGCATGAGGATGCTTGAATATGCGCCGGTGTCTACCATAATTCGGTGGACGAGGATCCCACAAATTGGTGTCGTAATGAGTAATGCATCGGAGTGGGGGTGGTGGAACAGCCTCGCGTCTTCCAAAGTGAACGTGATCGGGCAGGTGCGTGAATTGATCGTCTCTCTCAGGTCGGTAGCCATTACTTCCTTCCTCGAGTTGTACGCCTTTCTGGCGTACGCTTTGGCTTGCCGACGTGACGAAATCAGCTCTTCTCGGTTGGTGTTAACTCGGGGAACAGATCCTATCCGAGATGAGCTTTGATGAGTTCGGGAGGTGTTGTCGGGATCTTTGAATTCCTTATTTCTCTTCCCAAGTTGGTCGTCGGACAACCTGGGACCAATCGGTCCAAACATAAAGATCTCTTTGTCCCATTGCAATAATCTGATTCTTTTCACATTCATGGCCCTTTCGTCTTCCCTATCTCCATCGGGGATATGGATCATCTGACGTTTCTCTTTCGCGTCGTTTGATCTGGTAAACCTTTTCACTTGGGGACTCCCGATGAGATTCATGAGAGCCGATAATAGGCTGAGACATTCGTCGGTGTTGTGGCCGTGGGACTTGTGGTAGTCACAATACCGAGATTTGTCTAGTTGACTCTCCGGCGTTTTCACAGGTCGGGCTTCGGGGATGATCCCTTTTCCCTTGATCTCTTGATAGACTGCAGCGGCCCTGACCGAGTAGATGGAGCGGTAACCCGATGTCAGGTCTTCCTTGAATTGTCTCCTTGCTGCTTTCACCTCGGGATCACTGGGGTCGCTTTTGAATGGCTCTTTGAATGGTGGATTCTTTGGGGAGTTACCGAAGTGCTTTTTCTTTTTCTTGTTTTCAGAAATCGGTTCCTGACCCTTCGATGTGAATTCGAGTTCAGGTACCGACATGGATTCTTCGGCGATTATATGTTGTTGAGCTCGGGTGAGGAACTCTTAGAAGGTGTTGGGCTTGTTCTGGCAGAGCGCCCAACGGAACATTGACTTCGGTTTCAGGCCCAATATTGCCGAGACAAGAAGCGTCTCGGGGTGGCAGGGTTTTATATTCTGCACGTGCTCATTAAAGCGCGCAACATAATCCTTCAGACTTTCATCCTCCCGTTGGACGATGTTGGTAATTGATTCTTTCAGGATCAAACAGACTTGGGCCCAAATGAAGTGTGACCTGAATGCCTACCTGAGCTATCACCAATATCGAATCGACTCGGCTGGTAGCAAGTAATACCACTTTTGGGCTTTGGGACCCAAAGTTAGGGAAAACATGCGGCATCTCAGGGCGTCGTTGGCGCCGTGTAAGTCCATCCATGATGTGTAGTGACCGAGGTGAGCGTCGGGGTCGGAGATCCCATCATAGAGCCCGATTTGTGGGACTTTGATATTTCCTGGTAGGGGACCCCAGGTCAGCTCGAGTGCCAGCGGGGAATCGAATTCTACGTATACATAGTCGGGCCGGAAGTATGAGAGTGTAGAGGTAGCCTGACTTGCGTGGTACGTTGGGCTTCCAACTCCGCAACCCTCCTTCTCAACACTTCAACCTCTGAGGCGTCGCGTCTAGCAGACCGGTTTCTTTTGATTTGCTGCCGCAGGTCGACTTGGTTCTCGAGTTGTTGAAATAGCGGCCGAGCTGCGGGCGGGGCTCTCCGGGCATGTCCGGAATGACTCTTTGCGGTCATTTCCAGTAAGTTCATCTCTGGCAGGTTGATCTCCGGCGGGACTACATTTCCTGTTGGAGGGGCTTGTGGATTGTTGTCACGCGGCTGTGACATTGCGTGCGACGCGGTGCGGTTGTTGTCGCGTCCTTTCATTTGCGGGGCTCGTTGCCTCGCCGGCTCTATCAGAGCGAGGGATTGTCCCTGCACCGCTCTTAAAGGCCCCGACATAGTTTGTGTAACGCCCCACTTTGATTTTAAAGAAATTCCGGACTTTCAGAAAAATCAGAATAAATTTTTCAAAATTTATTTCGAACACTTGTGCCGTTACTCATATATTTCAAATTACTTCAACGACATAACATCAATTTCATAACATAAAACATCTAACTCCCAAAACGGGATTCATAAATCCGTAAATCATCAATTTGCCCAAACCGGGTTCCCCGAACAAAACTCAAGTTTGCAAGACATAACAATGTCAACGGGGCATCTCCCCAGTAGTGTCTCAACACTTCATAAATTCTCAGAGTTAGAAAATTCATAAATCATAAATAATCATAAATATAGCGGAAGCATAATCAATAAATAACCGATCTCATAGACCAACCACCACTCGCTCTACTCCGCCGTCGTACCCGCCTTGCTTAACCTGAAACGTTAATTTCAGGTGGGGATGAGTACAGTTGGAAATCGTAGTGCTCACCACTATGCAATAAACATTTCCATAACATAAACAGTAAAAGAGATAGTATGATCACAGCATATATAAGAATAAATTAAGTATCCCAAGTTTTGAACATAAATTCACGGTGTTCAGACTCATGTGCACATCTACACCAATAGACTATTGCCGGTAGATGTATCGAAGGCCCTCACTCGGGTCATGTTTCGAATGCCCCATGGGCTCTACATCTATGCCCCCCGGTTTTATACACCGAATGCCCCTCGAGTTTTTATCGATGTCCAGTCAGTAAGAGTAACCCCTCGGGTTTATTTTCATAAATATGGGACAACCGTTCGACGGCCGGTACAGCTCACATCGAAGGCTATATGATTTGTAGGCATTCATTGATCATATACAAGTAAGGCAAACAATTTATTGCATAGACAATTTTAGTAAAACCCACCTAGAAATCGGGTTACAATAGCACACAAGCTGAAGAACTTAGGTCGAAAGCTCGACTCCTCAACCTAAAAATTATGGATTTAATTATTATTAAGGAATTTGATTGGGTTAATTAAACCACGCAATTAACATACAAACATTTAATAACAACACATAAGGTAGGTGGGCAATTAAAGTAGATGAATTCACATAAAAAAATATATATCGACAAATAAGGCAAAAGCATGGCTCAAACACCACAAAATAATCTTATAGAAATGATTAATACGACACATGTAATGCACAAAAGCATTTTTTTTTTCCTCTATGATTTTCAAGCTCGACTAGCCCAACAAATAACAAACGGTATTTGGGGAAATAATATAACCCACAATTACAACACATCAAGATCATGAAGCTTAAACCTCATTCAAAGATAGTCATATTATTTTACTATAATGGATATTCTAGCAGACAAACATTTCATAGCTCAATACAGTAACTACACAAATGCAGAATGGTTTCAATAGCTCCCAAATTATAGATCCAATCTCCAGGCCAAATAAATGAACTAAAATAAATAAATAAATTCACCACATTAAAGTGAACATCTCTACTCTTGAACCAGAATCTCTAATACTTTTCTGCCTGAAGCTTATTAAATTAACTTAACGAAACTTTAAGCAACATGAAAGGGTCCACGCATTAGCACACACAACATTTCACAACGAGAGATCCAAAAATTCCAATAACAAAACATGACCCACAGAATACCAAAATCACATGTTCTTTCAACTGCACATTCTCAACATAAGAAAATAAAATTCACTTTCACATAGCAGAAAACACCTTCAAAAATACACACCCTAACAACAATTAAATCCAATTAAAATCCCAGCCACAAAAAGCCAAACAACCCGAAAACATGAATATAGCCTCCAGTTTATCCTTTAAACGCTAATTTTTAAACATCATTTCCAAGAGATCCAATTCCACAGCATACAATTCACACATTAATCTCATTTTATTCCCAATTCAAAGATTCGAATTACACAACCAAGGATCTAAACGAATGATGATAAAAAAAAAAAAAGAACACGAGATTACCACTTTAATCCACACGAAAAGAGGATTAACGGTTTCAGATTCGGACATGGCAGCCCGAAACGATGATGCCTCAGTCGTGACTCGCTGCTGCCAACAAAAGGGTTCGGAACCCGCTCGGCCCGCTCTCGATTGTTGGCGCTCGTCTTAGCCTCGAAACTCGGTTCTTTTGCTCTTGGTTTCTTGGTTTGCTGCCTGATTGGCGAGACGGGGCTCGCAACCGCCCGCTCATGGGATGTCATCGGAAACTGGGGCCTCGATTGCGACCCAAAGGGACCTGTTATTTGACGTCTGGGGCCTGGTCTACCCTTCTCGCCGGGAAAGCTGCTGCTTGTCAGGAATCAGGTTCATCGTCACGTCTGAAGATCAAAGGTCGGAGCTCAAGTGTCGTGATTAGGTCTGATGTCCATCGGTACGAGAGCTCTCCGGCGCTGCTTGCTTGTCCATCGGTAGTCCTCGGTCGACGACAACCAGTCTCAGCCGCGTACAGAGCTCGCCTCGCCGCTCGTCCTCACCGCTAGTCGGAGCTCAAAGAGGTCGAGACTCGGTCGAACTAAAGGTCTCGGTGTGATGATAAAAAAAAAAAACACGAGATTACCACTCTAATCCACACGAAAAGAGGATTAACGGTTTCAGGCTCGAACATGGCAGCCCGGAACGAAGATGCCTCAGCCGTGACTCGCTGCTGCCAACAAAGGGGTTCGGAACCCGCTCGGCCCGCTCTCGATCGTTGGCGCTTGTCTTAGCCTCGGAATCTTTTGCTCTTGGTTTCTTGGTTTGCTGCCTGATTGGCGAGACGGTGCTCGCAACCGCTCGCTCATGGGATGTCATCGGAAACTGGGGCCTCGATTGCGACCCAAAGGGGCCTGCTATTTGACGTCTGGGGCGCCTGGTCTACCGTTCTCGTCGGGAAAGCTGCTGCTCGTCGGGAATCAGGTTCATCGTCACGATTAAAGATTAGTGGTCGGAGCTCAAGGGTCGCGATTAGGTGTGATGTCACAGTCGCCGGTAACTGGAGCTCTCTGGCGCTGCTTGTTTGTCCATCGTAGTCCTCGGTCGACGACAACCAGTCTCAGCCGCGTACAGAGCTCGCCTCGCCGCTAGTCGGAGCTCAAAGAGGTCGAGACTCGGTCGAACTAAAGGTCTCGGTGTGCTCGTCAACCGTCGTGAAAGACTGGCTTGCGGTCGCCGCATTTTGGATCTTCGATAGCCGGTTCCTCTTGGTCGAGAGGTTGATGCTATCGGGAGTGGAAGAATTAGGGTTGTTCATCGGCTAAGGAGCCGAGGGAGACGACTAAGAGCATGTTTGTTTATGAAAAGTTTTCAAAAAAATTTCAACATTTTAACTCAACCACTTTTTTTAACTCAACTTTAACTCAACTCCACTATCATCATTATTATTAATAGGCTTAATGGCGGGAAAATACACGACCTTTACGTGTTTGGCCATTTAATCACAACCTTTAGACCTTGGCAAATAAATACACGACCTTCACATTTTTGGCAACCCGATACCTGGTTTGGTCTGCCGTTAACGGAAATCCTACGTGGCTTGTAAAACTGACGGACACACCAAACGAGCGTCACAGTCAGCGCCGAGGTGGCATAATCGGGTAGTATAAAAGCCAAATGTGCCTCTAATTTTCCCCAAAATCTTCATTCACGAACGAACCCTAATTTCCCCAAAAATCGCCCCAATTTTGCGCTGAAATGTCGGCGAGTTCGAGCTCAAATTCAAGGACATTCAAATTAGAATGTGGTTGTGGAGACGAACCAGGTTTATTCACATCAAATACCGACCTCAATCCTTGTCGTCGATTTCGACGTTGCATCAACACAGAGGTGAGTTCGATTTCCTGTTGCAATTTGGTGTTTTGATTATGTTTTGTGTCGATATGAGTGCAATTATGCCGATATGATTGCAATTTGGTGTAGTTCTTGTTATTTCATGCGTGGCCGATCTGAGATGAATTGTCCTGTTCAATGTGAAGTGCGAGTTGAATTTGAGGAAATGATCTCAGTTTGAAAATACTAGTTGCTTTACGAGCACAGTTTGAAAAATTTTGGTTTTATGACATGAACTTAGTTTATGGGTTTTCAGATTATGTGATTTGTTCTAATCCTTGCTTCTTTGTAAAAGAAACCCTGTAGATACTTTTCTTGGATTGATCCGGAGCTTGGACCATTTCAGAAATCATGTTTTCTGAAACTGAAGGCTGATAAGACATTGTTGGAGGAGCAATTAAAATGCAAGGAAGTCACTGTAGTAGCAATGGCTGAAAGGGTCTCATTGAAGAATGATGAACTATTGTATCTTAAATCCAAAGCAAATGACTTGGTGGAGCAATTAAAATGCGAAAAAAATACTGCAGTAGCAATGGCTGAGAGGCTGAAAATGAAGGAGGATGAACTTTTGTGTCTTAAATCCAAAGCAAATGACTTGGAGGAGCAATTAAAATGCGAAGAAAATATTGCAGTAGCAATGGTTGAGAGGCTGAAAATGAAGGAGAATGAACTTTTGTGTCTTAAATCCAAAGTAAATGACTTGGAGAAGCAAGTACAAGTCTTGTCCAAGAGAAACATCTTCAGAAACCGTATTGTGTGTGTGTCAGTTGTGTTATTTGTTGTTTTGCTTTTTTCCTTGGGTAAAGGGGAAAATGGTTTATTGATGTTGAATTAGCTTTAAGTTTTTGTAACTTCATCTCGGTTATGTATTGACAATGAACCATTTCTGATGCTGTCTTTTGGATACTTTGCAGTTGTTATGGAATTTATTTTTTTGAATCAACTTATGTTTTCTGTAAGTTTATTTCAGTCAGTGTATGTGTATGTTGGTGCAATATATTGTATGTTAATATTGACAATGATCATTCTGGCTTATTTTGGTTTAGGTTTACAGTTACTTTATTTAACTTCACAACCATGTTATAAGCACAAATCTGTGTACAAGCATATTAAATACCAAACAACTTGAAAATGAAGACATGTCTACTAACAAAAGTCTTGATGCCATCCTTAGACAATTCAAAGTCAAATCCAATCCAAATTCCACAACCAAAATCATCAAATCTAATCCAAATTCAGAAATTACAACTGAATCTCCAATCCAACAACCAAAAACATGAAAAAACAAGGCAGTTCAGAAACAGCATCCCCAAAACCTAACAACAGTACATATCCATGACAACTAAGGTGAAAAGTTGCAAACACTCTCTTGGGTCCCCTGATCTCTTGGGCAATTCTTGGATGTTTGTTTGTTTTGTCCATGTGCTGATCTCTTGGGTCTGTTGTTAGGTACAAAGTTAACTCTACTTTGCCCTGGCATCTGATTAAGCAGTTGTGGAACAAATTAAGTAAATTTCTGAAAAATGCATAACAAATTGGCACAGGGAAAAATATGGTAAACAATGATGCATACCCTCATATAAATGTCTCCTGTCTGCTCAGAGACCATCACACCATATCCTTTTTTTGCCTAAAGAATGAAAACAACAATAAGTTAACTAAACTGACATTTAGCTTTATGAAAGAAAATAAAGTTAGCTTTTTTACCATTGCTCTATCTCTTGCTCTAATAGCTTGCACAGTTTGAGATGATTGTCCAACACTTCTGATCCTGGCACTCTTCCTTGTCTGTTGCATAGCAGCTGTGGCTGATCTTGTAGTTGGGGCTGTTCTGGTTGCTCTTGTGACTGTGGTTTCTCTTCTGGTTGTGGTTGCTCTTGTGGATGGGGCTTTTGTTGGGTCTTGTGTTTGTGGTGCAGTTGGTGCTTGTGTTTGTGGTACTTGTGGTGATGCTGTTGGGGCTTGTGTTTGTGGTGCTGTTGGGGCTTGTGTTTGTGGTACTTGTGGTGGTGCTATTGGGGCTGTTGTTGGGACTGGTGTTGGGGTTGTTGTTGTGACTGGTGTTGGGTTTGTTGGCTGCCAATCTCTTGCAGAAGACTCCACATGTTGCTCCCTTGTCCTTGGTCTCCCCCTCTTTTTCTGCAATTTAACAAGAAGGATATTATCATAATGCATCATAAATGTTCATAAATAAGCACTAACAAATAAACTCACTCTTGTCTGTGAAGGAGCAGCTTCATTGGGGCAAGTCCTGATGTTATGCCCAATTTTCTTGCATTTTTTACAAGTCATTTGTAGTCCAAATCTCCTCAGCTTAGTGTCACTCTTGGCCTCTTCTTCAGGTGCTCTTCTCCTTCTTATTCTAGGTCTACCAGGCATCTTTTTAAATGGAGGTGGCTTGACAGTGGACCCAGATGCATCAGGCCACATTTTAGGTCCATTTAATGGTTCAAGACAAAAGGAGTATGCTCTCAAATTTCTTTCTACAGAGAAGTATGGGCTGACAAAATCCACTACATCCCTCTTCATGTACTGAATTGCAGAACAAGCATGGATACATGGTATACCAGATATATCCCAGCTTCTACAACTACATGTCATGCACTTCAAATCAACTACAAATTGATCATCTGATATGGCAACTTGAAATTTTTCACCCACTGCAGGTTTGGTCACACACAACCTACTACTCAACTTATGTTCCTCAATTTTTTTCCTTATCCTAGGACATATTGTGTCTTTTACTCCACTGGTCAACATAAGTTTGTGATGATGCCTTTCCATTACATAAGATCTAATACTCTCAAGCATGTCAACAATAGGTTGTTTCCTTGCCTTCACTATGGTACTGTTGAAAGTTTCACACACATTATTAAGTATCATATCACATTTTGGATTCTCAAGGATAAAAGCTTTACAGAACCTGACATTTTCCAGCTTCATGAATTCCTCATAAGCCTCTTTACCCACTACCTTCATCTCTTCAAGTGCCTCCTTATAGGCTGCCTTGTATGTGCTATGCACTACCCTCCAGAAACAGCTTTTAAGTGCACTGCCTTTGTGAGATTTCTTCCAGTTCATGTACACATGCCGTGCACAGTTTCTATGTTCTGCATGTGGTGAGAGATCCCTTATAGCAGCAATGAGTCCCTACATAATGAGTTAAAGAAGAACAAATATTAGAGACAAGACAAATAAAGAAATATATATATAAATGCCTATAATATGATTCAAAAACTAACCTTTTGCTGATCACTAATAAATGTCCATCCAAGTCCATCTGATATCCCCAAATCTTGAAAAAGAATATCTAGAAACCATTTCCAATTGCTCTCATTCTCAGAATCCACAACTGCCCATGCCAAGGGAAATATCTGGTTGTTCCCATCCTTGCCAACAGCACACAATAAAGCACCTCCTAAAAAGGACTTCAAGAAACACCCATCAAAACCAATTATTGGCCTACAGCCTTGCAAGAAACCTTGTCTGAGTGCACTAAAACCAACATAAAAACCTTTGAATACACTGCCACTCTCCAAGACAAGCTGAAATGTGCCATTTCTATCAACCCTTTGAAGCTCTGCAATGTACCTCCTTAGTTTTCCATAGTGCTCGTCCTCTGTACCTCTAAGCAGTTCAAGAGCCCTAGTTTTTGCTTTGTACAGTTTCCACCTAGAGGGTTGCACACCATATTTTTCACTGATAGAATCCTCTAAGTCAGAAATTTTCATCTTAGGCTTCTTCCTAATCATAGGTAGATACTCCCCAGCAACCCATGAAGCAGTTGCTTGTTTAGTGTTCAAGTCCCTATGGCAGCTATGGGTATTGACAAAGGTCTTGATAGCCACACTACCTTCACCTTTTATCAGACTAGCATAAAGCCTCCATGGACAACCCACTTCACACCTAGCTTCAACCTGACTTGAACTACTTCTGAAGAAACTTATGTTGCAGCCATTATATATTGCATAACTCTGAATTGCCTTCTTACATTGTCCAATGCTTTCAAGCCTCATCCCAAGCTGAAATTGAAATGTCTGCAGATCCCCCTTACCATCATAAACAATTTTTTTTTTTCTTAGGCCTTGCTTCATCATCATCATCATCATCAAAACCCTCACCACTAGATGAATCAGTGTTCACATTCCCTTCAGAATCTTCATATTCTGACTCAATATCTCTTGCAGGTGTAATGCTGTCATCAGCCTCATGATGTGCAGATGGCTGTGCACAGGAAATGTTTGCATCCCCAGCATCTTGTGACTTTCTAGAGTTTAAAACTTCTCTCCTGGCCTCAAGATACTCCTCATCATCTGTCCCTAAATCTTCCTCAGACAAACCATCATCACTTGAAGATTCTCCAGATGGTTCATAGTCCTCATCCTCACTTTCATCTAAAGCAAACTCAACCAGCTTGTCACTAGTATCAACCAGCTTCTCACTAGTATCCTTTGCTTGGTCTACCTCAGCAACTTTAGATACCCTATTCCTAGATCCATTTTCTTGTTGACACACAGCAGCCCCACACGGTTTCTTTAAATGTTCAGTTTGCACATATATTTCAACATATCTTTTGTTTCCCTGCATTTGACCCAAACAGTCCATAACACCAGCATCATCTGTTATATCTTTAAATTCACGTGTTGTCCGATGCTTATAACATATTCTACCCCAGTTTTCATATCCCAACTTCGTTATTTCATCTTCAATGTCAAAATAACCTAGCCTATCTGCATCCAACCCAGTAACCGTGGCAACACAATCACCATAATACGCCTCATACCCATCGACAGTCACAAATCTACCCTTGTGATTGATAAATAATAGAAAGAAATCGCTGTAAATTGAAAAAATCGGAAAAGATTAACAATCGAACCCTACAAAATATAAAATCAAATTAAAGATTTCAAGAGAGAAAGAGCAGTTACCTTGCAACCATGACGTCAAATCGATGATATGGAAGACACACCCTCTGAATTCTAGAGCAAATCGATGATATGGAACACAGACCCTCTGAATTTCCGTGCAAATCGATTAAATTGGGGCGATTTTTGGGGAAATTAGGGTTCGTTCGTGAATGAAGATTTTGGGGAAAATTAGAGGCACATTTGGCTTTTATACTACCCGATTATGCAACCTCGGCGCTGACTGGGACGCCCGTTTGGTGTGTCCGTCAGTTTTACAAGCCACGTAGGATTTCCGTTAACGGCAGACCAAACCAGGTATCGGGTTGCCAAAAATGTGAAGGTCGTGTATTTATTTGCCAAGGTCTAAAGGTGGTGATTAAATGGCCAAACACGTAAAGGTCGTGTATTTTCCCGCCATTAAGCCTTATTAATATAATTAAATCAATCAATCAATCATTCATACACGCCACATCAACCTTAATTCACTATTCATCCACTCACATTATTTTAACTAACCATCACTTCAATCATCTCTCTCCTACTTTTACATCAAATCAATTTTAATTATTTTACTTTAAATATTATTTTAATATTCCCACTAACAACTAATCATACAACTTTTTTCAAAATTAACCAAACCAAACCGACAAATTCAAACAAAACAAAAAATTTCCATAAACAAACATGCTGTAAGAGTTTGCGCGAGTTTCAAAAAATATCTGCTGGGCTTAGGTTAGCTAAGAGTTGGGCTGGAAATGGGATATTGTTGGGCCAAAGTCAAAAAATTACTAAATCAAGAAATTTACTCTTAGGTATAAATTGGGCCACAAAAACATACTTAAGCACCTAAATAAAAGACTTAGGCACATTTTGAACACTCAGAGAATTAAATTGGACAATAGCAAAATAAAACATTTAAGCACAAAATACAAATTAAATACTTAAAACTATTTAGTAAGACGAGAGCACACCAAAGAATTTAAGAAGACGTGGACTCTTCTAAAATTCTCAATTTTTGGGTTGGTAAATTATTTTACAAATCAAATAGACGAGGACATCTATTTAATTCGAATTTTTAAATTTATCAAGGTTACACAAGTTGAGCAGTTAATAATAATAGACAAGTAATCGATATATATATAATATCGAAAGAAAAATAATATAAATGCATATAGATTATCACATAAAACCCAAAAAATTCTAGTAAACGAACGGCTTAGATTCCCTACCCGATTAACTAAAATCGCCGAACGACGAACGTTTTACGATAAAACGGTCGAGTACTTAAATATAAAATTTAAGTAGACATCGCGATCAATACAATAAATATAATCTCAAAAATAAAATTTCGATAAATAGAATAATCCAAGAAATTCTATAAATCGAACGGGCGCTACAGTTCGGGCCAGCAAGGCGGCAAATCCCCGGGCGAATACCGAGTTTTGGAAGAGTGTGGTCAAATCCGGTATTGCGGGTACCGCGTTGTTGTGACCGGTTTCTTTATCTAGGGTGTGATTGGCGCTTCCCCTGGTGGTCCGATCGTCTTGCCCAGAATGAGACATGTTCTCGTGGACAAGCGGGAAATGGCGGTTTGAGTTTAGATGTGGTGTTTTCTAATTTCGAAAATTGACTCCAAGTATCTTATGAAGCCCTACTTCTAGCGCCAAAATGTTGATAAACGGAATTTAACATCGTAATCAATGTGTAAAAAGTAACAAAAGTTGTAGAAAATAGAATTTTTGTTGAGTTTTTTTTTAAGTCGGGTACACGACAGATGAAGTCGGTATTTTAGTACAAGAAGTCGGTTTTGTGTGCAACCGAGGTGTTAAATGCTAGAATTTAATGTGTCGGAAAAAAAATCCTCGTATCGAGTTAAATGCAGCTATTTATAGTAACATTCTACACGCATTTTGAGGAGAAGCGGGTGCATTTAATGCGGATTGATAGCATAGGGGCGGCTATGACGTAAGCCGATATGATACCGAGATGACCCCGGGAACATATCTTCACAGTTCGGACCTCCAACAATTAACCCTAACCGTCTCCATTAATCTTCTCGAGGTGTCATTAATTTGCAGTATTTGAATTTCTATGTTAACAATTGTAAAATGCCATGGGTCCTCCATGTAACGCCTCGAATATTTTTACTATTTATAGAGCTCGACTTTATTTCCATAAATAGCCTGTTTCCTTATTTGATGCATTTAACTATTATTATTTGCATTAAATTGAGTAATTAGTATAAAGTCTAAGTCATGGAGCATTTATTTGATTTTTAATCATTAAAATCGAGATTATTTAGCCAAGTATCGGTTTTATTTTAGGTAAAAACCAAGCATTGGATTAATCGGAATTATATTTAGTTGGGCCGAAGCCCGAATATTTAATATGCTATAGATACAACGCAATATATACACACACACACATATATATATATGTATATATATATATATATAGTTGGGATCATATGAGAATGGTAGATAATGAAAGAAATAAGAATGAATTTGGACTATCAGATCAATCATATCAATGGGTATGATGAAGTCAAACTATGATCAATCATTAATGGCATTCTGGTAATTATTTGATCAAAGTGTGGTCAAATATGTGCATTTGACCAATAATTAGGGGTAGGTTAGTCAATACACATATATTTATATGGGACCCACTCACCAATTAAATAAGTTTATCTCTCTCATCACATCCTTCGTTCCCAATTTCAGATCTGCAATCTCAATTCTCACACGCACACACACCACGCCAACCACACACGGCGGCGCCACCAAAAGATCACCCGGAGCCAAACTTCACAGGTGGCTTCGCACAGCAATTCGCCGCCGAACACCCGTCTCCGACGCCGTCGCCCGGCGCCGTCGCCCGGCGCGACTATTATGCCGTCGAGCACCACGTCGGCGATGTCCACCGGCGACACCTTCATTTGCAGACAACCAACCATCGCCTGATGGGGGGTGCCGCCACCAGCTACAGCCCGTCGCCACCTGCCGCCGAACGATGCCGTCCGCCGCTGCTCGCCACCGCCCCTCGCACCATCTCGCACGACGGCCATCTCGCCGGCACACAGATCGATTTCCCTCCGACGTCGTCGTCGACAGCGTCTCCTCCGCCTGTAAGCTTCGACGACCTCCAGGCGGACGTCAAAGCTGATAACCGCCGCCACGTAAAAACTGGTCGACGGACGGCGAAGATTCAAGTGGCGCTCGACGGCTGAAAAAAAAATTACCGGCTCGATGTTGCTGCTCGAAGGTGCCGACGTTCTTCCATATTCAGCCACAGAAGCTTGATGAAATGGCGTGCCGTGTTCTGAGTGACCGGAGATGGATTGCAGAGATTCAATTATGGGGATTGCTTTTGAAAATTGGATAAGTCCCAAGGACTTTTGTGCAAATTAAAGAAAATTCAATATATTACAATTCAATCCAAGGGTCCAATTTGTAGTTTATTGAAAATATGAAAATTTATAATAAATATATTAAATGCACAATAATCATAGAAAAAGTGCACAATATTGTATGAGAACTGCACATTAAAAAAATTTGTTTTATTTTGTACGAATTATTGCCCCAGATCAAATTAAATATGAACATATTAATTGGTTTAATCGGTTCGGTAAACCGAATTATAATAGAAATATTTTATTACTTATATTAAAATTATATTTAATTTAGTAATAATATTATTTATTATTTTTATATTACATTTGGTTGAAACAATTTGAGTTCGGTCGGTTTTGATATCTATTGTGCAATCAAACAGCCCTGATAAAGTGCAATACGTTGTTTTGTAAAGTGCAATATGTTGTTTTATAAAGTGCAACGGGTTGATGTATAAAGTAAACTATTGCAATTTTTGTATGTTAGCATGCTTGTGTTTTGTGTGGATAAATAATATGATTAATGTTAAAATATTATTTATACCCGTTTTTTATATTTATGTTGTGTGATATTTTGGCGGGAGTAGAGGATGTTAGTTGTCGATTGCATAAAGTGCAATGTATTGTTTTATAAAGTGCGACGTATTGTGTTATAAAGTGCAGCATGTTGATATCTAAAGTGCACTACTTTATATGATCACATATAAATTATGTACTATTGAAAACTAAATTTAGTAGATATAATTGTATATCGAATTAACCTAAATAACTGATTATTTTTTATGAAAAAAAAATATATGTATTATTTGAATAACTTTTATATTATATAAATAAGATATTATTATTTTAATCACTTCAATTATATATATATACATAACAAAATAAATAAGTTAATTTAGTTATTTATATAAATAACAAAGAAACTAAAATTTTAAAAGTAAACTTAAATAATCAACCAAAAATATAAAATTCGATCCCAAGACTGTGTATGACTGTTTCGGTCGCTACAGTGCAATGTGATGGTTGCTAATGTGCAATATTTCTATCATTAATGTGCATTCGCAGTGCACCTATTTATTTTATAAGAAAATGTATTTATTTTAATATTTTTATTTAATATTTATATTAGTTTTAGTTGAAAATATAATATATTTGTTATATACACATATATCATAAAATGTGTAATTTAAATTATCAAAATAATTTATTATTTATATTATAAAATTATATTCAATATTTTAATATGGTAATTTAATATTTTGTGGTATTTGTTTGGTTTAAAATACATAATATATGTGTATAAAAATATATGTAAAAATAATATTTTTAGATATTTTTATAAATTGTAAATTTGGCCCACGAACTCAATTGTAATATAATTAAAATTTATACGATTGCAATTAGATCCCCCAAACCTATCTAATTTTCAAACTAATTCACCCCCAAATTGAATCCGCCTGCAACTTTTCACAAATTCCTAGCTTGCTGCATCCAAGTCCTCATCTCATACGATAGAATTTTCCCCATTAGCCCTTAAGTTGAGATCTTTTACATTACCACGGGCCTACAACATTCGTCTGATGTTTGTACAGGCCCAGCCTTGGGGATGCGGGAAGAAGAAGGATAGGCTGATTTTGCATT